ACAATTCGATTAGTTTTGTGGCTGTGAGCAAGGCACAGTCTCTTGTGCTTCAGTTCCCTGTACTATAGGATAAGAGAGCTGGAACATATCAGAGGTTTTCAAGTGTGCTCCATGGAGCCCTATAAGTGATTGCCAGAGAAAGGGTGGCAGTTGCCAAAAGATTTTGGATGCATCTCTTCCTCCCTTTAATGAGAGCAGCTCTGAGCTCTTATTTTATATACATAGGTCCCAATTACTTTAAGGCGAGGTTTCTCAGAGTTAAGAAGTTTGAAAACTGTTTAGCATGGTACTTGGCATACAGTAGTCACTCAAATCATTAATGAATGAATGAAAACCAAGGTGATTGGTGTTATCACTAAGATCCCTTCCAGCTCTGATCTTCCAGAGCTGTTTAACATGGAATGGCGTCAAGTGGTACCTCTCTGCCTATTTGTGAAGGACTGAGACTTCTGCTGCTGGTTCCTTCATTTTGAGGGAATTATGCCCAAGGCTGATTGTAGAGAATAACTTCCTGGTCACGGGGTACAAGGATTCGAATAGCTGAAAACAGAACATCTTTGGCAAGTAGAAACAAGTATAGAAGTTTAAAGGATATCCAAGTCTATGTCCTTGCAGAAGAGTCCCAATGTAAGAAAAATAGCACGACAGGGTAATAGACTATTAATAACAACACATGCCCTCCAAAGATAAAACATAAGTAAAAGGACCAAATATATCCTACATCTCTTGAAAATTCTTCTGAACAGTATCATCACCAGAAATATCCCAATTTATAGGTAATGAATCAGGATGACTTCAACTTACTCTGTAATTTTGGGGTCCAGGTTGCCAATCCATAACCGGTGCCCTTCCTGTAGGGAACCCTCTGATAGGATGGATGCATTCTCCAGGGGAAGAGTTTTGGTTTCTGCTTCCATCAATCTCTACGAAATACTAAAGGAAATGTGAACATTCAGACAGGAGAGAAGCAACACTGTGAACATGAGACTTCAAATCCAGTTCAACAAACGTTTATTCAAGGGCATGCCTTAGGCGGTCCTGCAAAGGTCTCGGTTATTCCACAACCAGGGCCCCAGCACCAGTTCTCTTGGGAGAGATCCTCTGGCAGCCAGAATGCAAAAACTTCCATGTAAGGTGAAAGGGGCGTGGCTCTGTGTGTAGAAACTAAAGTTTTCCTCTTCTGAAGCCAGAGGCTGACTGGGCAGAAGGCCAAAGTCTTTCCTACTACATGATACTCCAGTGCAACAACTGTCACCCAAAATAAGCCCTGGAAACCACCAGGGAGTCTTAATAACGCTGAAGGTGATGGACAGGGAAGGGCAGCAGTACATCTCTTCCTCATGAAAGAGACTTAAGGCCATAGATTTTGGAGTTAGAACTGGGGTTGAAAGTAGGTTGTATGACTTGGTATATTACCTGAACAGTCTAGGTCTCCGTTTCTTCATATATATAAACAGAAATAACAGTCCTTGTCTTACAGGGCCATGTGAAGATAGTGCATGAAAAAAACACTAAACACTGCACCTGACAACAGTAAGTAATTAATAAATATTAGTTATTATCATATTTAATATTTGGAGAGAAACTGGAAGAGACGAACTTCCTTCTTAGTTATTCCATTTCCACCATTTACTAGCTCTGTAACCTAAGGCAAATTACTTAACCACTCTGTGCCTCAGTTTCCTCATCTGTACATGGGAACACCTCATAAGAGTTGTGCAGATTCACTGAGTTCATACACCTAAAGCACTCAAACAATACATGGCACCTAAGAAGCATTCAATTAACATTAGCTTAAATGATTACTAGGCTCAGTTTCTGAAATGTCTCATTTCACAGCCAAAAAACAAGGATGAGGCTTATGATGGAGACAGTAGTGGACAGAGCAAAAACCTGGGTGTGAGAAGACCTGGTTTGAAATTTTAGCATTTCCCCTGGAAGCCACTTGTCTCTAAGCTTGTGTCCTCATCTCTACGTAATAAATTTTGTCTTGCTTAAATCTTCACGTTGCTGAGATGACCACGAAAGAGATGACAGATGCAAAATAAAGCTCTAGTAAATGTTTAATGTGGTAGAGAAAAAGAAAAGGGGGGCTAGGAGGTTGGCAGACTGTGCCGGACTTCAGAACTCCCTGCTAGAGAAAACATGCGTCCTATACCCAGAAGTGCCTTGGAGGTCAGTGCTGCAGAAACTGTCTTAATTAATAACAGCAGCTGACATACACTGAAACCTGACAATACCCCTTATTTCAGCACGACTTACAGTCTAGCACACAGTAGTCCCTAGGTAAGTGTTGAACATGTTTATCTACCCCCACACATGAGGGTATTCTTCTTTTCCCACATGTTCAATCTGTTCACTAATGTGTGACAAGCAACGACCAACTGCTAAACCCTGGCCTACCTGCTGAAAGCGGAGAAATGAATAAGCCATAGCTCTTGCTTTTAGCTCCTTCAAGAAAAGTGAAAAAGACATAAATAGATTCCCAGGAGTAAAGACAGGGAAGGAGAAACATTTTGTTTTCTCCCTGCTTTACTTTTACTTTCTTACAGATGATTCACTTAAAAACAAATTATTGAGATTCTACTTTTCTAAGTATTGTCCACGTTCTGGAGACAGAGCAGGGAACAAGCAAGGTCTCTGCTCTCAGGGTGCTTATATTTGGAAGAGGAACAGAACAAAACTAAAGCAAAATAAATAAATGAGATGTAATCTGTGATAAGTGTTGCAAACACAATTATGCAAGGAGAACTGATGTGGAGTCTGGGGTTGGACTACTTTAGAATTAGTGGAAAGGCCTCTAAAAGAGATGACATTTGAGATGAGACTTGAATGATTGCCCTTCTGATTTTCTCATGTCTAAAAATGACAGTAATATCAACAGCTACTTAGTATCACAGAAGGATACCATTTTTTAGTGGGAAGAGAACAGAAAATGTGGCCAAAAGAAATGCATTCAAATCCTGGCTTCTGTACCCAGTTGTGTAACTTTAGGTTCTTCTCTTCAGAAAAGCTTTCCCTGATAGAGCAGAGCTCCTTGTCTCCATCATAGCCACCTTTTTCTTTCTATATAATACTAATTCATTGTGTTACTTTGTTTTATCTTCTGTTTCCCTCACTTGAATGTAAGCTACTAAGGGAATGGGTACTGCCTATTTTGATCATGGTTTTACACTGCTTGGCCCATGGCTGGTGCTCAGTATTTACTGAACGAATGAATGAAGCAAGCCATTCCTCTATTCGGAGCCTCAGTTTCTTCTTTCTTCCTAGAATGGACACAATTACCATATCTCATGAGTCTTATAAGGCTTCAATAAGACAATATCTGCACAGCACTTTTTGAGGAATGGTAAAGTGTAATAAGAAATCAAGATGGCATGTGACTCAAAATCCTTTGGGTATGCAATGACGAAAGCTCCTGAGATTGTTAACCGAGTTTTCACAAAAATGCTTTTTCATCTATCCTCCCATCTGAGCTGCAACTACTCTGGAAGCTAGGAGTCGTCAATTTGGGGGAACAGAAATGCAGAGAAGCAAAGGCACTTGTTCCTAAAAGCTACCAATAACGGCGGAGTCAAGCCTGGAACCCCAGCTTCCCGATCCAGGCCGAGAATTTCCAGATACGATGGGTCACTACTCGGATTGTTATTTCCGGGCCAGCGGCAGGACAATCCGGGGCGGGGCCTGAGAAGCCGTCTCTTAGGGCAGCCTCCCCTCGGAGCCCCTTGCGGGGCCGACGCTGTGATGCAGGAGCACAGACTCACCTTGTGGCCTCGGCGTCTTCCCCTCGGCTCATGCCCCCAAAGCAAGTACCGTCTCCGCGGCCGACCCGCGTCTAGACGCGTCGGTCTCAACGCTGCCGGCTGCCAGGCCGCCGGTGACGTACTACGCCTGCGCCGCCGCACCGCCCCGTGACGTCACGACGTCAGCGCCGCCGCCGTCGCCGCGCTCGCACGAGCCTTAATATCCTGGGCAATAGCTGGTGAGTGGCCTCCGCATGGCCTTGAGGTGCGCGCGCTGTCCTGGTGCTGGAGACGTCTAATCTGGGAGTCCTGAGGGACGTTAGGGGGCCGGCCTGACTGTGGCTCCCTGACAAGTTCCTTCCGACTCCGGCTTGACCTTTAAGGCTGGAGGCGGAACCTGTCGCATCAGCGGGTCTCAAGGCTTGGGGGCGGGACGAGCCTTAATATCCTGGGCAATAGCTGGTGAGTGGCCTCCGCATGGCCTTGAGGTGCGCGCGCTGTCCTGGTGCTGGAGACGTCTAATCTGGGAGTCCTGAGGGACGTTAGGGGGCCGGCCTGACTGTGGCTCCCTGACAAGTTCCTTCCGACTCCGGCTTGACCTTTAAGGCTGGAGGCGGAACCTGTCGCATCAGCGGGTCTCAAGGCTTGGGGGCGGGGCTCGTCTCCTATGCTAGGAACTTACAGGGTGGGAGGGCGGGTCGCTTACTAAATTGAAGCAACTATTTAGAGCCCAGTACTTGGCAGGAATATTAATTTTCAGAACAATCTCAGAAGGTAGGTATTGTTATCCTCCCGTAACGAAGAAACGTAAGCTCAGAGAAATAACTTTAA